AGATTACTCCCCAAGAAAACAGCAAAACCACTCGTGGATTTTCGATCGTCAGGACAACCAGCCCAATCAGAATCAGAGAAAGCATGAATGTCTCTAGATGAGCACCGTCGTATGCGTAAACCATGATCAACTGTTCCCTTAACATACCTGAGTACCCGTTTGAGCTGCTCCCAGTGTGATATGGTGGGGGCATGCATATGCTGGCATAACTGATTAACTGCAAAGGATAGGTCAGGTCGTGTGACAGTGAGATATTGCAGTGCTCCAGCTAGACTCCTGTACTGTGTGGGATCATCATATAGATCTGAATTGAAGGGGACAGTTTTCGAGACAGAGATAGGTGTAGAAAGGGGTTTGCATTCAGACATTCCAGCCCGTTTTAAAATATCATTCATATACCGTTGTTGAGATAAAATAATCCCATTGTCACTCTTAACTGTTTCAATACCCAGAAAAAAATTTGGTTCACCAAGATCTCTAATTTTGAATGTAGCAGACAGTTTGGACAAGAGCTGAGACATAATACCTTGATCACTTCCCATTACAAGAATGTCATCCACGTACACCAATAGATAAACCAAAGCAGAGTCTTTAGAGTAATAGAACAGAGAGACATCTGTCTTGGATGCTTGAAAGCCAACCGATAGTAAGAACGTATGTAGTCGATTAAACCAAGCTCTGGGAGCTTGTTTTAACCCATACAGAGATCTTTTTAACAAACAAACATGATTCGGGAAGTTAGCATCAATATAACCAGGGGGTTGCTTCATATAAACTGTTTCAGCCAGATTACCATTCAGAAAAGCATTATGAACATCTAGCTGTTTGATAGACCACCCAGATGATAAAGCTAGAGATAGAAGGAGTCTTACAATCGTAGGCTTTACCACTGGACTAAAAGTGTCGAAGAAGTCCTGACCTGGAACCTGATTAAAACCTTTCGCAACCAGCCTGGCTTTATGCCTTTCAATAGCACCATCAGCCTTTCTCTTCGTACGAAACACCCATTTACAGCCAATAATATTCATACCTGCAGTGGGTGGAACTAGAGACCATGTGTGGTTATGCAGGAGAGCATTGAATTCTTGGTCCATGGCTTCACACCACTCAGGATATTTGACAGCTTGAGAGTAACATGTGGGTTCCGTGGAATGCACTTGAGCTGCTAGAGCAAAAACAGGAGCATCTGTGTTGCTGCGAGTGGCCATAGAGTGAGTACGGACATTGGGCCTGATGGACCGCCCACGTGGACGGCTTCGCCGGCGAGCAACAGGCTCCACAGGATCACCCGACGAGGCAGCCTGTCCAGGAACCACGGCTGGTTCGAATGAAGCAGGTAGCGGCGGTTCTGGCAGCTCATCATTGGACACGGCAGGAATAGGTGTGCTGTGACTGAGAACAGATTCCGCCCAAGGTCCAGAAAACGGAGTAGATAGATCCTGCAAAGAAGTTTTAGTAGCAAAGGGGAAAACTTCTTCATCAAATCTGACATGCCTGCATGTGTAAATCTTATTAGTATGTAAGTACATGCATCTGTACCCCCTAAAGGACTCAGGATAACCTAGGAAGACACATGGAGAAGACCTGTATGACATCTTATGACGATTATATGGTCGAAGATGAGGGTAGCATAAACACCCAAAGACACGAAGAAAAAGATAGGAAGGAGGGAATTTATGTAACAGGAGATGAGGACTGGAGTTATTTAATACAGAAGATGGCATTCTGTTAATTAAATAGACAGCAGTCTCAAAGGCAAAATCCCAAAATTTCAAAGGAACAGAGGCATGAGCTAGAAGAGCCAGACCAGTTTCAACAATGTGACGATGTTTTCGTTCAACACGACCATTCTGTTCATGTGTATAGGCACAGGATTGTCTATGTTGAATTCCTAATTGAACAAACAAAGAATGCAACTTTTTGTACTCAGCACCTAAATCAGACTGAATGGCCTTTATTTTGCAATTAAAGGACCGTTCAACAAGAGTACGAAATTTATCAAAGATGACATAAAGATCAGACTTTAATTTCATAGGAAAGAACCATGTATAACGGGAATAGTCATCCACAAAGATCACAAAATAACGGAAGCCAGAAGTAGATAAAGTGGGCGCAGGACCCCAAATGTCTGTGTAAATAAGATCTAGGACTTGAGAACTAGAGGAAGCAACACGGGGGAGGGGAAAACGGGCAGATTTGCCTAATTGACACGCATTGCATAAAGAATTATGACAACGAATATTATCACGAGACCCACTAACCAAACAAGAACGAAGTATATGGCTAAGAACACGGTTATGCGGATGACCTAGACGATTGTGCCAAGTGGAAGCCGAGGCACGAGCGGAAATAAACGCTGACGGAGACGAACTAGGTAATGAAAGTGTGTATAGTCCCCCCGAACTATTGCCCCGAAGAAGTATTTCCTTGGTATTGATATCTTTTACAACAAAAAATGAGGGGTGAAACTCAAAAAAGACTTTATTATCGGATGCAAACTTCTGAACAGATAATAAAGAATTAGACAAACGCGGAACGTGAAGTATATCAGACAATGTAAATGATCTAGAAGGGGTATTAAAAGAGGCATGGCCAACATGACTAATAGATAAACCCATACCGTCACCGACACGTAAAGTGTCATTACCAGTGTACTTCTCCGATGTAGAAAGAGCAGCGACGTTCGGAGTTGCATGATTTGTGGCTCCAGTGTCCGGAACCCAAGTATGAGAATTTGACGAGGTTTTAGCAACTAAACCATTCTGAAACACCAAATTAGCCTGAGAACCCGGAGCCCTTGAATATCGCCGAAAACAGTTGACTCCCGTGTGACCGAAACTTTTGCAGATTTGACACGGATCATTATAGCGCCAAAAACAATTGGCTCCCGTGTGACCAAAACGTTTACAAATTTGACACGGATCATCATAGCGCCAAAAACAATTGGCTCCCGTGTGACCAAAACGTTTACAAATTTGACACGGATCATCATAGCGCCAAAAACAATTGACTCCTGTGTGGCCGAAACCTTTACAGATTTGACACGGATCATCGAAGCCACGTTGCTGACCTCCACGGTAATTAAGGTTGCCATCGCATCGCTGCATCTTCTTAATTTTATGAATCACAAAACCCTAGCTAACTGATACCAGATGAGAACTGATTGTATTATATTTTCTGAACTTGATTACAATGAGATCAGATGATGTGAATATATAGAATAGAGAGTCACAGTGTGACAATGATAAGAAGTAGAGAGTCACAGTGTGACAAGGATAAGAAGTTCTAAACAGACTCATATACATAGAGTCCTAATAATAGGGTGCAATACTATTTATGTAAAAAAAAAAAAAAAAAAGAAATATAGGATGTGATATAACTTATAATACTTGTTATTATATTTTACATTGATTATAAACTAATCAATTTTATAGTTTGATAAAATATCACTTTATATAGTACAAGAAAAAAGTCATTAATAGTTGTAGTTGATTCAATGTAACTAGAAAAAAAGCGTCAAATTAAAGTCAATGACCTTGTGATCTAGTGGCACGAAGTAGCTATCCTAAATGGGAGGTCATGGATTCAAGCCTTAGTGGGGCGGTATGGACTATTTGTGTTTCAGTAAGTTGAGAAAGTAGTTAAGAATAGATACTTGCACTTCAGTAAATTGAGAAAGTAGTTAAGAACGTATACTTCATTGTAACAGAATCAGAAGTACTCAAAAAGTAAAAAATAAAAAAGCGTCAAATAAACCTCTTAAAAAGAAAATTTCATTGAAACTCCCTAAAACTGATTTTCTTTTAAAATGTAATTGAGTTTAACCCTATTTAACAAGTAATTGATGGTATCGCTAACACATAATTTTCTAATGTTTATATAGATCCAAGCGTATAATTTATTATTATTTTTAAACAATCATTGATTGTCAAAGAAAACAAACAAGACAATTTTCATATTCGTCAGCCTCTAAAACGAAGATCCAAATATGAATTCCCACGGTTCAAATTTAGACCCTATTTGTTTATGTAAACAATCGTAACTGTCCATTAATAACCATGATTGTTTGACATCGGAGATAACTGCCACTTTGTTTTGTTTAAAAAAAAAATTATACACTTGTTATTTTGTAAGTATCAAGAAGTCTAATGTTCGTTATCAGTGGTATTTTGTTGAAAATGTTGAAAAAGAACTTTTAATTTGTTACTGATTTAAAACGTTTCAATATAATTTTTTCCACCTTCTATTAATTGATTAACTTTTTTTTTTTTTGTTTGAAAAAAAATAATGATTGATCTATACATAACATGTTACATTGTTACTATTAATTGATTTAATATACTCCTCTCGAATTAAGTAATTACAGTGCAACATTTCACGTTTGCATTTGATAAGATTTGTAGTAAATCTTTTTATAGTCATATTCTAATACACCCAAAAAAAAAAAAAAAAAAAAGCTTTGGGTGGGGGATGGCCCGGTGGGGTTAGGAATGACAAAGTAATTCACGGGAATAATGGAAGGTTGTGTTAACATCAGCGTGCAAAAGTAAAATTGGATCAAAATTGACCGCAAAAATATGTTCATAAGTGGATAGGAAAAATTATAATTTATCAATATATATTGTCTCTTTTGTACTGTACAAGAGGAAGAATTTTTATTTTTTAAACTACTGATCATATTACATTGTAATATCTATTCATCTATTTTTATGAGTCAACATCGCCTTTACTAAAGCTTGATCTCATGACCTCCCATATAAGAGAGTCACTACATATTATCTGAGTAGAAAGTGCTTGGCATTAAAATGAAATTTATTATATATGATATATGAATAATATTTACCCAATACTCTATATTATTATTATATATAAGAATGAAGTTTATCCAATATTTATCTAATATGCATATTTTTAGATAGTTTCCTTTCTCGTCTAAAAATATTGACCACGAAAAAAAAAATGGAAATCCCGAAATTGACCTCACCACCCACGGGCGCAGAAGATGGATTCCCCAACTCTGCTTTTTGTTGGGCATTCCACTTTTCAGTCATGAAAGCAAAAGAAAGAAAGAAGCCCCACAAAACCCCCGGCGCATTTTAGCCAGCCGCCTCTTTCTCTTTTTGCCGGCAGAATCATCCCCCGAGATTCCAAGAATCAAACCCCCCCGCCCCCAATTTAACCCCATCTCACGCGCGGATATAGATATATATACACACACAATACAGATACTATATGTATATACCCACTACAGTCGCATCATTTCAATGCATATACACACGCAGCAACCGCTCAATGGTGCATTGTTTGGCGCCAAGGCGATGATGAGGCTGGAGAATTGTGAGGCGCCGATGTGTCACGCGATCTCCGACTCCGCCGCGGCGGCGGCGGCGGCGGAGGCCTCGCCGGGAGGCGCCGACGATGAGGGAGTGTTCGTGCCGCCGCTGAATTTTGCTATGGTTGATTACGGCGTGTTCCGCTCTGGCTTCCCCGATGCTGCTAACTTCGCGTTCCTGCAAACCCTAGGCCTCCGCTCAATCATGTTGGTCGTTTGTCGTTTTTGTTGTTACTTGTGGCTTTTGATGATTTCGCTGCTATGAATTTAATTTAATTTTTGTATGCTTAGATGCTTGTGCCCCGAGCCCTATCCTGAAGAGAATGTGGAGTTTCTCAATGCGAATCGAATTCAGCTTTTCCAGTTCGGCATCGAAGGATCCAAGGTTCGATCTTCTCTCTCCCGGCACATAGGTTTACTCTTGTATCTGAATTTCCGTGTGGAGCACAATGGAAATGAGGATGTTTTATTGATTGTTATGCAATTACTGTTCACTAATCATTATTAGAAAGTTCTAATTTGGGGACTCTGGTTCAACTTATTTGTCTGATAACTAATAAATGATCTTGTAGAAGTTGACTTCAAGAGTTCAAGCTTAGTTTAACAGAAAGTAATTGTCTTATAAGTTCCATTAACTTACTGCTTTTTTATAGTCGAGAGCTCGAATGTGTCTCTGTTTGTTTTCTACTTTGTTCGGTTTGCTGCGCTTAATTTGGACTATTCTTTTCATGTAACTATAATGTGCAATGTTTTTCCTTTTCTATTAGTTGTTGTTTATCTTTTCTTGTTTGCTCTCTTATTACTGATAAGAAGACGGTTTAGTTGGCATGTCATTGTAGCTTATTCTGGATTAGTTTTTGTTTTCCATCTGACCTGATTTCCTGTCTAGAATAACAACTGGTGGTTGGCAAATGAGAATAAAGATGTTCTTTTGTCATCATTATATACTGAACTTATCAAAAAAAATTTCAACCCTTTTTCACCAACAGACATTTGAAGCCACGAGTTGGCCCCTAGCCACCTAGCTAATTTATTCTCCTTCAATCATGTATATTCTTAGCTACTAGCAAGTGGCTTGAAGGATGAAGTTGGATTCTCTTTGTTGAACTTGAAAGCTACTGTTGATTATTTTATACACACACATGCGTGCTTATATCTTGAAATTGCATTTCATAAATTTCTTTGATGCTTAGGGGTGCCAGATGTCATATGAGGTGTTGTTTCTTTGTATTTATGGACTAAATAACCTAAGTGTTTGTTGGTCCATCCTTAACTTTGCATTCATACGATTGAAAAACCTGATTAGTTAATTGAACTGTTTCGCACCTAAGACACTTTAGCTTACTGGAAGGCCGTAAGAGGGAAAGATGATGTAATCCCCACACCCTTAACTGATGGGCATAATGGAAACCAGAACACTTGTTAAAAAGATATAAGGAGGTGGAGAATTCTCAATGCTATGGGGTAGACGGGTAGTCAAGTATCCCAATTGTTGGTAAGGCAAATAGTGGTTTTCAATGATGAAGATGCATGGCTCTGATCCTTTGTTTCAGAGGCTTAGGCTTTGTAAAATGAATCCAGTAGAACATAATTGATCAGTTCTGAGTGCCGTTACTTGAGATGATGTTGTATTGTTAGTTGGTATTAGTCATTTTTGCATGTCACATAGTGTATGCCATAATCCTTAACTATTCAATGTTCAGGAGCCATTTGTAAACATTCCAGCAGATATGATCAAAGAAGCGCTAAAAATTGTCCTCGGTAATTATCTCGAGGCTCCATAGCCTTTTCTTCTTCACTAGATAGTTTTCCTCCTTACAATTTCCCATGTGTTATCCATGTAGATGAAAAGAATCATCCGCTGCTTATTCATTGCAAAAGGGGAAAGGTATGCTTTCTGTTACTGCGATTTCCATTCCACGCATAAAAAGCGCAAATATGATTATCCCTACCATTTCTGTCATGCAGCATCGTACTGGTTGCCTTGTCGGGTGCTTGAGAAAAGTACAGAGATGGTGCCTCACATCAATTTTTGACGAGTACCAGAGGTACGCCGCTGAAAAGGCTAGGGTATCAGACTTGCGATTCATAGAGTTGTTTGACATTTCTGGCTTCAACCAACCAACGCAATTCTTTTCGTGTTCAAAGAATTGATGCATACATGAAACACTTCAAGTGGCAGTTTTGGTTCTTGCAGTTTCTATCCACAAAAATAAAAGGGATCATCATTTTTTCTTCTCTTTTTTTGTAATTCTAATTTTCAATATATTTTACTGCCTCCATTGATGTTGCCATGAGGTCTTGTCACATTGTAGGAATGAGAATGCAAGAAAGAGAAACAATGCTATTTGCAATTGAAAAAGAACATTGGGGTATCTCTTTTGTGTCCTATTCTACCTCTTCCTCGTACACATTCTATCTTTCAAAATATAATGATTCTCCCATAGTCCCATGTATTTGCCCATGAAAGGGACACTCCATTTGTTCACTTGTATATTCAGGGTAGGTCAATGGAAGATGTATCAGCACTGTATTGGTATGATTATATAGAGAATGTGATGGTGTTGAATGTTGATAGTTGACCCCACTTTCAACTCATGCTCCAAGATGACACAAAAACAATAACAATCAATTAAAAATTTTCAACACTAAAGCTGTGATCTTGATACCTGCAGGTTGCTAGTTTTCCCTCTGTAAATTTTCCCAGAATTCTTGAGACGAGCTTCAGATTATTAGATGTGGAAAAGATTGGTTTATCTTGTGTGTAGTAAAGTTTGAATCTTGGAATGTTTTGAGGAGATTATATGAAGTCAGGAGGCAAGAAATTAATCACAAGTCTGCAAACTAGAACCAAGTGTTTGTAGGGGATAACGGTGTTGATAGAGATGTCAATTTAGTTTGAAGCTTGTGGACTGACTCGAAAAAAAATTGAAAAATTAGCGAGTTCGAGTTATAGGGTTCAAAAAATTTAACCCAATAAGAAATCAGATTGATGGTTTGAGTGAGCTAGCTCGATTAACATCTCTTTTAATTAACTTATTCAACAGAACCATAGATCACTAGTGGGGCCGGAGCAAAAGATTTCACCCATTTTATAATTGGCTTTAATCCAGTCTTAAATTTTCACAAACCCTCAACTCCTTACTGTGCCCACTCCTCTTTTTATTGCTGTTGTTGTTATTATTAGTAGAAAAATTTTACATTTACTTCCAAATTATACTTTCAACTTTTACTCTTACTAAATGTTTGATTTTTATTGGATGAAGAAAAATGAATGGATAAAAATCATGACTCAACCCTTTTTATTAGACAATCAAAATATGCCACATAGTATAGAGTAGAAAAAATGGAGTAAGAAATGAGAGTCCATGTAGTATGCTATGTTGTCTTAATAAGCAGATTCCTTTTTAGGTTTAAAGATAAAGATTAAACAATCTTTAACACTAACAAACACCATTTGTAGTAACTAGATCTCTGTTTGTAAAGTGGCATCATTACTGATAAAGACACAATCACACATCCTATAATGATATTTAAAGATAAGAAGATATATAATCCCCCCATGAAACAACCTTATTAACCTTATTAGTACTATGATTATCCTAATAGACCAAACCCCAAACTGTATCATCAGTAGTTTTCCACCATATCCTCTCTCAAGTCTCAAGCAATGGGAATAGGACCCAAGCTTCCAGCCCTGCTCTCCATGGCCTTCATGGCTTCAAACCTTGGCTCCTTTTCCTGAAACTTAACCCCAGCATAGAGCTTCATGTAGTCATCAAACACAAATTTTGGGTACTTTTTATCTTCTGCATTTTCTTCCACTAGCTCTGATGCTGGGTAGATCACTGCATCATTCCCAGGATTGTAGAATGATGCCACTGACATCCTGCTCCCATCAGTCTGTGCTATCACTCTGTGCATCACACTCTTGTACTTCCCATTACTTATCACCTTCAATTCATTGCACAAACAAATTTTCTTATTTGGGTTTAGCGTAAAGATTGAATTTTTTTTTCTGGGGTATAAGAATTCATTGCACAAACCAATTTTCTTGATTGGGTTTAGCGTAAAGATTGAATTTTTATTTCTGGGGTATAATAATTCATTGCACAAACAAATTTTCTTGATTGGGTTTAGCGTAAAGATTGGATTTTTATCTCTGGGGTATAAGAATAGATATATATATTGTACCTCGAGCTGGTCTCCAAGGTTGATGACAATGGAATGGTGCATAGGGGGAACATCAATCCAGCGGCCGTCTTTGAGGAGCTGAAGGCCGCCGATCTTGTCGTCCTGGAAGAGAAGGATGAGGCCGCCGGCGTCGGTGTGTGCCCGGAGACCCTTGACGAGCTCCGGCGTCGGACAGGGAGGGTAGTTGCTCACCTTGGTGCCAAAGTTTGGCCCCTGTGAACCATAAAAGGCCTTCTTCAGATACCCTTTTTCTAACCCAAGATTCTCGCAGAGCAAATCCAGGATGTTTTCTGCAAGATTCTCTAGCCCAACTGCAAATTCCTTCATCGCTTTCCTGTTGTTATATATGTATCAAGAATCAGTAAGAGGCCGGAAATTGGAGGACGTGCTTAACTGATAGTTGCAGTGCACATTTATGTTTATATATGTTGTATGTTCTGATTATGGGTTTTAACTAAAATGCTAAGTTGATAATTGAACTGCATATTTATATTTATATATATAGTATATGTTTCTCTGTCTCAACTAAAAGGTTAAACTGATAATTGGATTGCACATTTATGTAGACCTGAAATCATCTTCAAGGTCGGGGATTTCAGAGATGTTTGAGACCGGGAGATGTTTGAGGAAGAAAGTGGATTCCCAGTCTGCATCACTAATCTCTGTCTGGACAGCATCGAGTCCCTTATCAGCCACCATTTCCTTAAACTTCTGCTCCATGAATTTCTTGTAGTGTTCTTTGTTCAGCCTCTCCACTGTGTCCATCAGCTCCACAGGGATCCCATGATTCACCAGCTAAAAACAGCACCCAAAATGGTGAATTCTTAGGATGTTTTTTCAAGAAAAGATGGCAATCTTAATGTAGAAGAAGACAAAGAAAAGAAAACAAAAACTACCTCAAAGAAGCCCCAGTTTTCACAGGCATCTTTGATCTTCTCCATTGTTGCAGACCTTTCTGCAGTGTTGAGCTTCTGCAAGTCAATAATGGGGAAGGTTTCCATCTCTCTCTGGCTTGGTTGTGTTTTGTTCTCTCACTGCAATATTTGTGTGTGTGTGTGAGTGTGAAGAATGATGGGGAGAGGGGGACTTGTGAGGGCTATTTATAGGCTGCATGTATATCTGAGGAGTGAGGAGTTTTTGATACATTAAGGTATTCTTATTGGGAATATTATTTTTAGTGGGAAACTAGGTTACTATTTAATTTCCCTCTATTCTTTCAATTTTCCAAGATTGATTGATCTCTTTTAATAGCTCAAGATTCTCACCAATTCTTTATTTTATCTTTTTTCGGTATATCTCGGATTTCCATCGTCGAACACCAAGGATCGGTCCCTTGACCTTTGGTTAAGGATGGATGAGTCCATTCCACTCAACCACACCCTCCAAGCCCACCAATACTTTATTGCTCACGATGTAAAATTTTCTCATCTCCATCACTCCATGGCCCTTATACTCGATCTAACCCCTTACAGGATAGAGGATGGATAAATCATAGTGATTTAGCGGTCCATTAGGTGGGAAGACCAATGCTAGTCCACCACATTATGTGAAACTCCTGCACGTACTCAAGCAGGGACGGAGCCAGAAATTATGTTGAGGGGGGGCAAAGAAGTAGGGATGGTCAGTGGCTGACTCAGGAATTTTTTTTTCAGTGAGGCCAAAAAATTAAAATAAAAGAGAAAATTTGAAAAAAAAAAATAAAACACTTTAAGAAGTATAACAATAAATATTGTTGGATATAAAGCGAAAAATAAAACATATTAAAACTTTATAAAAATATTTATAACAAAATATGAAACATAATTAATTTGATAAAACAATTCGAATATAAAACACATTATAAATTACACATTCCATTATTAATATAAAGAAAGTTATATATACATCTCATTATTAATATAAAGAAAGTTATATATACATCTCATTATATTAATATAAAAATGAAAGACATCACATTATTATAAAAGAAAGTTATATATATGCCAAAATTTAATCGTGTTGAGCAAATATGTGAAGAAGACTGAGACAGTATCAATGCAAGGAATCAAACCCAAGCTATTTTAAAACCCAAACACGTTTCTTACCACATTGTCTACCAAAGCTTTTGTTTACAAAATCTGTTTTATAATACTTATACTAATAATGTACTATATATACATATTATATACAAAGCTATATATAGGGTAGGGGTGGGGTGGGGTGAGGGGGGGCAGGTGCCCCCCCTTTGGCTCCGTCCCTGTACTCAAGCATGCGTCATTGTCCACAATCTACCACCCATAAACCAATTGAGTTGTATGTGCGAGCCTCACCAATAGCAGAAGTAAATCATATTAGGAAGACCTTGTGCAACGAACTCAACCAATAAGGTGTTGACAGGAATAAAACTTACGACCTTCTAGTATAATAATCATGCTCCACCCATTTTATCACCTTTTTTTGGGGCAAATGCTAGCTTCTCTATAGGAATTGTAAGCCTATATAAAACAAAAGGAATTGTAAGTTATATTATGCTATGGTAATATGTGTACATATTCTTATGCTTAATTATAATGTTGTGACCACTAATATTCTATTACACTGTACTATATAGTGTTACAATATAATATCATGAAGAAGTGTAGATCATGTGTGGATCATCAACTCCCATGTCGATCAAACTTGCTACCACCTTAATTAATAATCCTCCTTGTGCAGGGCACCACTGCAAAAAGTAGTATAGTTTATGGACTTCCAACATTCTCTTGGTGCTTTTTCCCCCATAGATCGACTTACAAGACAAGAGACTGGGGAAAATCTAACGGTGATAATGTAAAAACAAATACTGTATCTTATCAACTATTATCTTTGTGGGTACAGCTTGCAAAAATAATGGTGTTGATATAGGTTTGAGAATCAACCTTAATTTGCGAACTGCAACTTGTGAAGGATTGCACCTTATTTATTACATGATTGCACTATATTTGAATTCAATTGCACCGTAAGATCCTCCAGGTATGTCTAAAAGTCGTAACAGTGCAATCATGTAGTAGTTACGAACTTACGGTGTTATCCTTCACAAGTCCGCAGTTCGCAGGTTAAGGTAGGTTTTCACATGATTAGAAATCTATTGATATAAACTTACATAATAATTCAAAAGAGTAGAGAAAATAAGTGAGAAGGTAGTCTTGATCTATTTAAAACTCACTGATAATTTATTTAAAATGCTATAGTTTAAAAGAATAGGACCACATATATATAATCTGAAATAAGTTATGACAGCGCGTCCCTTGTGAAAGAAATACAACCAAAGACAATATTGTTGAGTTGGTTTTTAGATATTAGAGTTGTAGTTGAATTTACATTTTCTCGACA